GAATGATTCATGTATTGAATAATTTGTACAAAAAAAAAGAATTGACGTTTTTTTAGGTTTGTATATATTCTTTTTTGGGTGGAGTGGTGCCGTGCTATGAACCTGGCCATATGAGTTTGATTTCCAGCCATGGTTAACATCAGTGGCAAGTGACATCTGAACTGGTGCAGGGCACCAACCCACACTAACCCCCATGGAGAAGTATGGTCAAACCACCCCCAGGAACAAAAACATGTGGGGAGGTCTTCATCCAACAGTGGAGTGACAAATTAATGTAAAAACATGGGCACGATGAGTTCACATAACCACTGCAGCCACCAGTGGCTGTTGCAATTGTAAATGTGCCAAGGATAATAAATTCTTAAATATATAATCGTGGTCTCAAATTACTACATTTTCCGACACCTTTATATTTCTCTTCCAGGAATCTATTGGTATCCTTTATTGGCATATTTAGAGGCGAATCAACAAAGTTGGTGTTATTTATTTAACTTGAGGTGCTGAAAACCTCAGGCAGTTTAACTCATTGTTACTGAAGCCGAAATTGACGTCGTGACGCCTCCGCATTAATAGGCACCGCAAAACAGCCGTCGCAGCGCTGCAACCTTCCCATCGGCCAAAAACGAAACGTAAACAAAGCAGAGCCTCCAAAACGCGCGCACACACAGGGAAGGAAGAAAGAATAAAAACAATCGCCTCGCTCAAACCAAGTGCGAGGAGATTACACGGAGGGAAGGGGGGCATACACGGGGATAGAGAAAGGAGGAGATTCGAATTGGGTCCATCGGAGGAAGGGGAAGTGAGAGAGGAGCTAATCTAGCGAATTAACAGCCCCACGATGTTTTTGGAGAAAAAGCACGAGGGGGATTGTTTTCTTTTTTGTTCAACCTGAGAGGCCAAACCGTGAGCCCTCAATCAGCTGTTTCCTGTCCGAGGAAAGGGGTCCTGTCGTGAGCAGTGGCAAACTTCCGGTCGTGGAGACACGATGCCGAGGAGATCAAGAGATTCAACTTCACTGCCAACCTCGATGAGGAAGCCACCAGAGCTATTCACTTTTAAATCTAGATTGAAAACTCACTTCTTTAGAACTGCTTTTTGTGTTTAGTCTGTTGTCCTCCCCCCCCACCCACACCTCCGATTAGCGCGGTGGGCTGTGTACGGTGCAAAAGAAGTTCACACTTTCATGTTTTTCTAGAGCCGCAATGCTCACAGATCAGAATAAGATGCTCCCAATTGTAAGTGACGCTGACATTCATTCGGCTGCTCACAATTAATCGTCAGGAAGACATTTTGGTGATGAATTAATACTAAAAATGTCACTTGTAAAACAATAATACATGTTGCTTTTATAGAAGGTGGGCAAGCTGCAATGCAGAGATTCGTGGGTTAAAATGAACCCTTAAGCTCAGGACACACGCGTGGAATTGCACGTGTAGAAATCAGTTATTTAATAAATATTCAAAAAGTATATTTGCATATTAATTCCAAGGCAGGCTGAAAAAACGAAAACCTACGGGAGAAAGTGACCAAGAGAGTGAGAAACGATACAGCGAGATGGCAAAAACGAGACAAAACGGAATTGATTCCCCAATCTAATTGCAACCAATGCCCAATCGCGTCAAGTCGTCAAATCTCTTTCGATCAGGTGCCGGATGCAAAGAAATTTTTTCCGCACGCTACAGGAAGCAACGACCTGCTCTTGACGCTAATCAGCTTAAAAAAAACATTTGAGAAGGAGCAGCACCATCTATCTAAACTAATAAAACACTAAATCTATTTTCTTTTACCAGGTAAGGCCCACTGAGCTATGTAGCTCTTTTTCAGAAGCGACCTGGCTATCACAAATGATAGCTCAACGAAGTGGCTCATATTGTGGAAATGTATAGCAGCCAAATACTCTAAACGCGTGTTGATTCTAAATGTGGAGGGAAAAACCGGAGGAACCTGAGAAATAATCCACGCTCGGAGGAGAGACCGACACATCAACTCCAAATATAGAGCAGGCATCCGGGTCGGACCCACGACCTCTTGTATACCAGGTGAGGTAGCTAATATCTCGCCACCGCGGTGCCTTTTTGATATCTCTTCCTAGCCGACTCATCCCCAAGGAGAACGAGGCACAGATACGATACGACAACGTAAGAGGGCGGGAGCGGGCGGTGTGCGCGTGGTGGCAGACAGACAGACAGCCAGCCAGCCAGCCAGGAGAGGGTTAAGTGCTGGCCAAACAGGAAAAAGGAAAACGCAACAAGTGACAGTGTTTTGACTGAGGTTGCCCAGCAGCGGTTACCGCCTCCCCACCCCCCACCACCACCACCACCACCGCCGCGTCCTGAGCGAGCCGAGCAAAACACCGGCGCGTGCGCTGCTAACGAGCCAAAACGAGGTGGCGGGGTGGGTGGGTTACGCACACAGGAAACGGCGAGGCTCGCTTTTCACCACCGCAGGTTAAGGTTCTCGCTTCGATGTGCAGCGCGCGTGGAGAAAAGTGGAGCGCGCGTGGGGAAATGTGCAGCGCGCGTGTACGCCGCAGAGGTGCATCCGGGGAGGGGGTCGGGAATGGGGGGGGGGGAGTTGAACCCCCACACCTCCCCCCTACCCAAATGATTAAAACAGCTGTTGTACATAGCCGCTAATGATTATGCTGTGTTGTGTTGCGCCCGTCGAGAACAGGCGGCTCCGGCAACCGAAATAAGGAGCCATTTTTTTCGAATTCGGCAAGACAAAAAAATATACATTTCAAGAGCCGCCAATGCACACGTGGTGAATACGAGACGGTGGTCGTTGATTACATAACTGTCACGGAGCAGTCCTTAGAGAGCCGCATGTGGCTCCGGAGCCGCATGTTGCGCGCCCCCGATCTAGAAGCCATGCCTTGTAATGAAAGGCTCCTTGCTGATAACGTCCGGCAGTTTACAAGCAGGGAATCCAAGCGAGCCTGACTCTGCTGATGAGACACTGCTGTCGAAACCGGTGCGCTGTTTGCTTGTACTCAAGCGATGCTGTTGAAACTATGCACTCCCAGCAGCACATGGTGCCGACTGGTGTGACTAAGAAAACAGTTAATTTGTCCACTTAAATATTTCATTGCATGTCACGGATAATTTTTTTTTTTCAACTTGTAATTATCAATTAATCATTACCGATGCGCGTTTCATTTTAGAAACATTTCAAGTTCTAGCAATTAAAACGTTATTTACATGCAATCAATGTTGTTTCGCTGAATGGGTGACCATGCATAAGTCAGGGCTTAATATCAGCCCAGTCTCTCTGGGTAGGTGACCTGGAAATTATGCATCAAACACCCAGCGCATTAAGGTTGGCTACATGTGACAAACGCCTCTTGTGGGCGAATATAAATTATATGCCCCCTGGTGTGGATAAAAGGGTCTTTTGAAGTGATTTCAGTAGCAGTTCTGTGACGTAATCATTCACATGACATTCCCTGCCACAGTATGTAGTGGTTGGGTGCACTGCTCGCTGCAGGGTTATGAACGGAAGTAGACATGGAATCGCCACGCGGCGCAATTGCCGACAGCACAATTGTAATACATTGTGTGGCCCCAAACACAATTCTTGCTCGGACAAAGCAATTGCATTATTATTTGTGTGGTATTTAGTTATTCAGAATCAGAATCTTTCTTTATACTGGAGAAATCCGATGAGCTATGAAGCTCTTTTCCACATATGTCCAGTAGAAGTGGGTCAGATATCATGGATCACAACACGTTTTAAACCATTAATCTTCCGTCGGTGAACACACGAAAAATCTAACCGCTGTCGAGAGCGTTCCTTTGAGGTGAATGATTTTCCTGTTGATGGTGATAAGTGGTGGTACTGTGCAATGAATCGTACAGTGAGCAACATTAAATACGCAATAAATATTTCACAATCGACCTTTAAGAACGTACAAACAACCGGAAACATCTAGTGCAGCGGAGAGCACCACGACGCCCTTCGTACTGCACGTGTGCGACTCTTATTTTGGAAAGGCGTCTTCTCGAGTAAGCCTTCATCTTTTTATAGGTTTATTTTGGCTAATAGCTGACCAGCTTAGTTGTGAGCGCCAGTGTTTGATGTCTGCAGAATATCGAGTAAAGAGGCTTGAATGTCAGGACTATTCTAAAAAAAAACCACACGCACGTTGCCTACGCTGGGAAGCGGGGTGATGTAATTCTCACTTCTCGGGAACCCCGCCTGGCAATATGTCCAACGATGACAATGTTCTTTTTGCAAATAAAAAGCAACGTCTTCATATTTCTTATTTCACCACGCGTAAAAAAAAGCAAGTAGTAATAAAATGAATGTGAATTTTTTTCCACAAGGTTATTGTTTTACTACGTAACGATTATCGACCGTCTCTCCTTTGCAAGACATCAAATAAACCCCGCGGGCTTGCGTAATGGCAAAATAACGTACAATGCATGTACGTTTAGACTTCTTTTGCACCACACGTAGCCGTCCGTGCTAATCGGAGGTGGATTGCACAGGGCAGCAACCCAGCGTATAATTGTCACGTTAAGATATCTCGACAACAGAGGGAAAGCAAAGGCCTTATATAATAACACTCGATGAGCAAATTTCTAGCAACTGTGAATTGAATTGCAACTCGCGTAGCGAACGTCTTCAAAAGGCGTCTTGGTCAGCGTGCAAGATGAGGCTGCGATACCCTCTCAAGAGGGGCTCTATTAGAGCTCCCTCTAGTGGAGACGCCTGTGTCATCACATGTGTGAGCAAGATATTGCAGTGCTGCGCCTTTACCTTTTACCAGTACCAAATTATAACATTTAAAAGTTAAGCCCCAGCACGTGATAGGGATTGGAAAAAAATATACAAAGTTCCGGATGAACCCGGGAAAGCTGTTCCTATTCAGCGACACATTTAAAAAGCTGCCTTACTTAGCGGCGACTTTGCTCTTAACACTGCAGTTTAATTGGGGGGTGCTGCTGTGGGGGGGGGGGGGGGGGGGGGGGGGAGTTATTTTTCTCTGTTCCGCTGACCTTGTTCCGCCAAACAGAATGGCCTGGTCTCCGATCAGGCAGCAGCACTGGCGTCTGCGCGGGCAGGGACCCTTCTCTCGCACCTCCATCCGCTGCCAGGTCATCGTTTCTGAAAAGCAGATGGAAAACAGTGGTTAACACTAAACTATTTTTTATTTTACCAGGTAAGGCCCACTGAGCTACTATACAGCTCTTTCAGAAGTGACGTGGCTATCGCAAATGATAGCTCAACGAAGTGGCTTATCGTCATGTGAAAATTTATAGCAGCCAAATACTCTACACGCGCGCCGATTCTAAACATGGAGGAAAAAACGGGATGGCCAGGAGAAACATCCACACGACCACGGGGAGAACAAGGAAACTCCGAATAAAGAGGTGTCAGAGTTGGGGTCGACGCACGCCCTCCTCTGTACCAGGCGAGGTAGTTAACATCTCGCCACCGCGGTTACCGAATCGACGCCCATAGCCGCAGAGCTGGGGGCGCTCAACCTCGCGGCTCGGGACGGGAGCCGGGGGCTTGGTGTCAACAGATGCGGGACGTGGCAGCGCACTCCTCTAAGCCCGCGCTTTTGGAAAGGCAACGGCTTTGTGGATCACGTAGAGATTTGCGGGAAAAAAAAATTCCCGTGCCGCGTTTTCCGCCCGTTACCGCGTGTTGTTCTATTTTTAAAACTATACACTTTTTACTTTACCAGGTAAGGCCCACTGAGCTATATAGCTCTTTGCAGACACAACCTGGCTATCAGAAATGACGGCTCAACGAAGCGGCTTATCACGTGGAAATTAATAGCAGCCAAATACTCTAAACGCACGTCGATTCTAAAAGAGGGAAAAACCGGAGGAACCGGAAAAAAATCCACGCGACCACGGGAAGAACACGCAAACTCGAAATAGGCAGGAGTCAGGGTTGGGATCGAACCCACGGCCACCTGTATACCAGGCGAGGTAATTAACAGCTTGCCACCCTTTGGCATCTTGTCCCGACGTTTTGCGCCGCATGCAAGGAGATTCTCAAGAATGCAATTGCCCAAAAAATGTTTATGCAGGGCAGCCCCTGACAAAAAGAGCCTTCTGAATCATCGAGGCTCTGCTGGATTAATACATTTATCATCATCATCATCATCACGATCCATGGGCAGATAGCTCTTAGGTGTCCACTGCACATGTCGTCATTTGTTATTTTGGCCGTATCGCGTGTTTGGTCGGCGTGATATTCTAACGTGTTCCGGGAGCTTCTTCAGGAAATTATGAAGCTCTCAGCACATGATAGGGATTATTTGCACCTAAGATGGTACAATAATAATGTTACATTGAATTTGCATTCCACCCCACTCCCGAGGATTTAACTCTCATGCTCCCTTGAACCCTGGACAGACATGCAAATGCGATGTTCCATCTCAAGCTATGACTTAACCCTTTAAAATATTTCACTCCCGCTCCTCTCCGAGTGAATGGAGATAACTTGATTGATGACAAAGGGTATGCTTGGCCTTTGCACGGTTTCAATGCTGCCAAAGTGAGGTTTGGACAGATTACATCTGCAGCAATTGTTTTGGCAACAAAATCCCTGCAACCCCATCGTAAAATGTAGCATTTCAATCTCAGACTTTGCACAGCGTTCACACCGGACGTCTTTGTTGCAGCATTGCAATGTTAATCAGTCACAGGAAAGTGTGGATTCATAATATTTCCAGACACACACCATATAAAAAAATGATGCGTGACCGTGTGTTTTTCACACACCATGAAACTCTGCTAAATGGATAATGATGTACTCCCCCCCATGTAGGTCTTGGGTGCTGTTTGACCATACTTCACCGCACTGGTCAGTGTGGATCGGTGGAAAAGGGAAGCATAGACCTGGGGAGCATTGAAATACAGTACAACAATAGATTTTGCTGCTCTGCTCACCATGTAGCCCCACAGCCTACAAATGACCATGCTGAACTTCTTGATTGCGGGTACTCATTCGATCACCCATCGAATGAGAACCCGCAATCAATCCTGCTTAGTTTCTGAGATCTGACGCCAATCCGGGCGATTTGGTCCAAGGTGCTACATCTTCACGCGCTAACCACGCCCTACCTCTAACCCCAACCAAAGCAAACGTCTGGCACAATTAGTCACGTAAAATGAGTAATGCTCTGTGGAATATTACACCGTGTTTGTACGAAAGCACTCAAATAAAAAAATCCACCCGTTTGAATTCATACAAAAGAGGAGATTATAAATAACTGGAGAGCTGCGTCGAGCCATTACACTCAGTTCCCTTTTGAAACGTCAATGATGCCATATACGGAAATGATGCGACGCTGTCCTTCCGGGGAGTTACAGAGCAGGGGGGGTGGGGGGGGGGTGAGAAACTAAAACTGAAAAACACAACAAAAAAAATGAATGAGCAACCGCCCACACCCGCTGTCGCGCACATTAGCACATGTGAGTAGCCGACGCATGCGGCCTTTGTGAAACCAGCGGCGCAATGATGAAGGACGTTTTATAGCGGCGCGGGGTCCTGTGTTGCGGACGCGAGTCTTATTTTTCTCCCCGTTCTGACTAATGTATGATCGATGCGAGAAGACGAACACGGGGTTGCTGCAAGATTACGGTTTGATGAGAGAGAAAAAAACATTTCAATGTTGTGCGCAACATCAACGCGCAACCTTCGCAGCGCGACGGCTCGCTGCCGGATCTCTCTTGGCTACACGCAAACGTTAAAGGTAACGTGGGCTTGGGCAGAACAAGAATGCTACAAGGGATGCTGATGGCCGGAGGTCGAGACCTAGCTAAAACTAAACTATTTTTTATTTTACCAGGTAAGGCCCACTCTTGAGCTACTTGGCTCTTTTTCAGAAGCGACCTGGCGATCACAAATGACATCTGAACGAAGTGGCTTATCATCATGTGGGAATTTACAGCAGCCAAATTGCTCTAAACGCATTTTTTCTAAACGTGGAGGGAAAAACCGGAGGACCTGGAGAAAAATCCACGTGACCACGGGGAGAGAGTCACGCAAATTCCAAATATATAAACATGGGTCAGGGTCATGATCGAACTCACGACCTCCTATATACCTGGCGAGGTAGTTAACATCTCGCCACTGCGGCGCCCCAGACGTACGAATGGCAGACCAAAAGGTGGGAACAGGACCCGAGAGCGTGCCCGGACAACGGAGATGGGAGCGGTGAGAGATTGGTCACGTGTGCAGCTGCCAGATGGGTCGCTACATCACAGGGCCGCGAGAGACGCCGATGCCTCGGGGAGTGACACAATCATCCAGCGGTGGACTGAGCACGGCTGATGAATTATTGAGGAAACACCGTTGGATGATGGCAACTCTGCGTCGTACGCATCTGAAACACATTGCGTGCCCACTTGTTCAAGGTGCTTTCACCAGGTATCTCCGGGAATATGATAAAAAAAATCCGACGTATCAAGCAGCCAATCTGCAGTTCTTAATAATCGCCCGAAACTAGCGTTTTACATCCACTAAAATTAAAATGCAAGCAAATGTCGCATCGCTTTGTTTTTTTAATGAGAGACGTGAATTAATTAGCACCCCGCTTCTGTGAAATTCATTCAATCGTAAATTCAAACACGTACGAGCCAATTAATGAAAGAGGAACTTCCAGGCACTTTACCTTTGTAATCTCCATAGTTACAAGAGAGCTATCGCCATGGCTACAGCGGTTTCCTAGACACGCATGCACGCACGCACGCACGCACACGCGATCCCTCTTTCTCCGTTTCCAGCTACCAGAGGAGCCAAACGCACGACGAAAGCGGAAACCGTTGGTCGAAATGTTTGCAAAATTGTGAACTATTACACACCAAGTGGTCAACCACCAAGGACCAGTACCAAGTACTGTTGGATAATATTGGCCTGGAAAGCCAAAAACCTAAAAAAATATTTATTTTACCAGGTAAGGCCAACTGAGCTACGTAGCTCTTTTTCAGAAGCCAACCGGCCAGAAGTGATAGCCCAACAACAAAGCGGCTTATCACATGGAAATGTATTACAGCCGAAAATTCTGAAAGGACGTCTACAGTGAGGGAAAAAAGTATTTGATCCCCTGCTGATTTTGTACGTTTGCCCACTGATAAAGAAATGATCAGTCTATAATTTTAAGGGTAGGTTTATTTGAACAGTGAGAGACAGAACAACAAATTGTTTTCTTGGTGACTATGGTCCCAGCTGCCTTGAGATCATTGACAAGATCCTCCTGTGTAGTTCTAGGCTGATTCCTCACCGTTCTCATGATCATTGCAACTCCACGAAGTGAGATCTTGCATGGAGCCCCAGGCCGAGGGAGATTGACAGTTCTTTTGTGTTTCTTCCATTTGCGAATAATCGCACCAACTGTTGTCACCTTCTCACCAAGCTGCTTGGCAATGGTCTTGTAGCCCATTCCAGCCTTGTGTAGGTCTACAATCTTGTCCCTGACATCCTTGGAGAGCTCTTTGGTCTTGGCCATGGTGGAGAGTTTGGAATCTGATTGATTGATTGCTTCTGTGGACAGGTGTCTTTTATACAGGTAACAAGCTGAGATTAGGAGCACTCCCTTTAAGAGTGTGTTCCTAATCTCAGCTCGTTACCTGTATAAAAGACACCTGGGAGCCAGAAGTCTTTCTGATTGAGAGGGGGTCAAATACTTATTTCCCTCATTAAAATGCAAATCAATGTTTTTACATTTTTGACATGCGTTTTTCTGGATTTTTTTGTTGTTATTCTGTCTCTCACTGTTCAAATAAACCTACCATTAAAATTATAGACTGAGCATTTATTTGTCAGTGGGCAAACGTACAAAATCAGCAGGGGATCAAATACTTTTTTTCCCTCACTGTATATTAAAAGTGGAGGGAGAAAACCGGAGGACCCGCGGATATATCCATGTAACCACGGGAAGAACATGCAATCTCCAACTCAAAAATATAAAAGGCGTTCAAGGGTCGGGAACGAACCCACAACCTCCTGTATATTAGGCGAGGTAGATAACATCTCGCTACCATGGCACCCCCTCTTCAATAAATAGGTTGACGACCTAAAACATGTTTGTTTATGTGTAATTACAGAATGGGAGTTCTGCTTATAATTTCTTAAACTCAACATCGCTCTGCAACAATATAGCCCCCAGCTACTGTACAGTTTTAATATAATTTAACAGCAGCTGGGATTAATTAAAAATCATTTTTTTTTAATAACTCGTGGTGGAATAATGATACCATTGATTCATTGCCTTTTGCTTCTTAAGCTCACACGATTCATGCATTGAATTGCACGTTCAAAAATCAACGGTCCACAATTTATGCACCATCACTGAACACAAAAGTCTTTCATTGTTAAATTACTGTTATGAATCGCAACTTCGAATCGCAAGTAATTAATCGAATCGCCAGCACGGGGGGATACGAATCATTGAACTCATGAAGAGTCCACAGAGGTATTCTACACACCTCATGTACACCTTACGTACACCCCGTTTGTCAATCCACTGCTGGATAAGGGAGGGCCTGCTCAAGCCCCACACAAGTCGTGGGGGTCATTTGACCATACTTCGCCACGCTGGCCAGTGTGGCTTGGTGAAAGCACAGGCGAGGGAGCATGCAAGTACAGGGCAATGGTGGCAAGATGTTAACTACATCGCCTGGTATGCAGGTCATGGGTTATATAGCGACCCTGACACCTGTATATTTGGAGTTTGCAAGTTCTCCCCGTGGTCACATGGATCTTTCTCTGGGTCCTCCAGTTTTTCCCTCGACAGTTAGAATCAACGTGCATTTAGAGCATCTGGCTACGAGAAATGTCCACGTGATGAGACACTTCGTTTGGGCTATCATTTGTGATAGTCAGGTCGCTTCTGAAAGAGAGCTATATAGCTCAGTAAACCTTACCTGGAATAATAAACGTTATAGTTTTACTCTGCTGTGTTGCAGGTGTACATCTCACCTGGACTGAATTTCCACAGGTCATCGAAGTGCCTGTCCACCAAGGCGTTGTACCCTCCAAAGATGTACAGCTCTCCCTTATAGGCAACTGCAATGGGGAAAAAAACGAGTAGATAAGTTAATGGGACACACAGACACACGTAACACATATACACATATATAGAGGGTTCAAACTAATTATTTGGTGAGCTCTGCATTGGCAATGGTGCACAAGCTTAACAAACAAAAAATCTCACATTTGTCAACTACCACCGAGACCTTTAAAGGAATAATGTACAATAGGCGACGTTTTGGGCCATGACCCTTTGTTTACTTATGTGCCGTGAAGATGATAAATTTCCCGAAATGCCACATATTTTTTCATTTAAAAGCCACAAGTGTTATTTGACAAATGTGTTGAGTTTTTACACGCTTGTATTTTATAAAGACACTCACACACACAAGCTCATCCATTCAGACACGCAGCCGATTTGTAATGCCCCTAAATTACATTCAGCTCAACAGGTGACAATATCGTGAAAGCGTTGATTCCATGTGCACAGAACGACGCATGGAGATTCAGACCTGTGGCTCGCGCAAACACACACACACAATGTCAATTCCAAGAAAAATGTAGGTGTGAATCACTTGCAAAGGAAAACGATCCATAACGGATCGCAGATTTTTACGATGTGGGCTCATTACAAAAAAAACACAAGCAAAAAAACTGTGAAGAATTGTGCAGAATAAGTTGTTGCATATACAGCGTGCCACATGCTTGACAGCACTTCAATCACAATCTAACCTTGTGTAATTTCTATCCATCGTTTAAGCGGGGTGTCCATGAACGGATCGGATCGCTCCAGCGCACGCGACGTCAATCTATTTGCACTTGGGCAAAAATCATCAATCAAGATTCCTTGCCTGAGAGCAGGTGTGGTGGAGGTGAGCTGCTCAATCGCCCTTTTGATTTCCCATCCCCACGTGATGTCCGTGCTCCACCTTTTCATGTCCAGACGTTTCCTCCCTCGTTTCAACTCAACCGGCAGAGCTTTCATTATTGTGCCCTCTACATCTTCAAACACGTTTTTTTCTTCTTCTTCTTCTTAACAAGGTCTTCTGATCTCACCTACATGTTACCGTCAGCCCTTTGTCAATCCACTGCTGGACGAGGGCCTCCCCATGTCGGCCGTGCGTGGTAGTGGGCGCCACGTGACCGTATTCTCGACGCGCCCTTCATTGTGGGTTGGAGAATCCATTCTGCTGCACTGTTCCCGTTTGTCAACACATGGGCCCCCACAGCCTATAAACAACCTCTTGTGCCTGGGTGGTTGCCCATCTAATCACTTCTCCAGACTAAGTGTACCAGGTTACCAACGAAGGTCAACTATCGATTCCCATATAACCATCTTTCTGTACCTTTATTTTATGTGCCCAGCCCTGATCCTATGTACATAGCACATACATGGTTTTTTTTTATAAGGTACCACGGCACTCCCTGCATGGCATACTTTAAATCAAGCTAACTCTTCATATTTGTGTTTAAAGTACACAGTTTTATAGGCAAATTGTACAAATGATTGGCTGGTGCTTGTACAAGCTACTGCACGCTGTGCCCTGCTCAAAGGCAGAAAGGCACCCCCTACTGGCAGACACCAGAGTTGTATCTTCACAGTAATAATGTAACTTGTTAATGTGAGCATTCGAGGTTTGCCCCGTTCCTCGTCGTGTCTACGAGTTTAATACCAAGCATGTGCCTCTTTGCATTTCATTGAACACTGTTCAACTACTGTTGTACTTTTCTTTGTTCAATAGCCATATTAAAACAGTAACAAGAAGAGGGGCAGGAACAGGAAAACGTGGATTAAGAGATGATAACGCAAGTTGAAAACGTTATGGACTGTTAAGAAAAACAAGGCAGCCTGGGAAGGACACGTCGCTCAAAGGGATGAGGGCCGGTGGCGGTCACTGACGGCCAAATCAAGAAACACGACTGAGAGTCCCTCCTGTCGCGGAGAGATCAGCTCGTGCGCAGGAGCTAGACGCATGTTCGCGAGACTGGGAGGTATTCATACAGCGGTGGATAGATCGTGATTGATGACTGTTAAGATTCTCAGATCATAGTCTTAACAATTCACTTTTTTCCCAAATTAATCAACAGCATCAGTGAGCGTAACATATCGATGTCAAATCAATAAACGTACTTTAATCAATTCCTGCCTACGAATGTGCTTTCCAAATTTTATCACAATATCGAACATTATTCTTACTTTTTACGCTTTTCAACTCGGGTCGAAAGCATTTATGCATTTTCTCTGTCCGTCACGAACGGGAAGGGACACTGTAGCTCTCCTAATGATGATCCAACACAAATGTAACTTTAGTACACTATTGTGTTGCTATGAAGGACTTACCCGACCGAAAATCGGCCACATTGATCGAAGGGTTGCCTGCAGCTTAAGACGCAAACCAGAGTAACGCAGGACTATTTGTAAAGACGCCTGAAGCACCTTTCCATGGAAGCAACTCGTCAGAAATATGAACACGCATGTTACTGCGACAGCTATGAACTAATAAATTATGAAAGCTTTCGTGACTGCATAAAATCACTCGTTGTTTTTTTTCTGTAAAGTCACATACGTGACCAATGAGTAATTTTATGCAGTCACGAAAGCTTTAATAATTTATTAACACACTTCTACGCTTCTGTGTATGTGCAAGATGTGCCTTTTTTGAGCTGCCGCAAGATGTTTTTTTGAGCTGCAGCTCTCTCTCTGCCCCCCCCCCCAACCTTATTTCCTATTTGAGCTTCTGTTCATCCCTCTCTCCCCTTGCCTCTCTGTCCGTCTTTCCTACTGACCGTGTACCTCGTATATTTTCACTCTGTCTATGCTGGTTTGTGCAATCCAGAAGTTGAACACGAAATTTAACACTCCTCTGAAATTCGTGGTCCGCCAGGAAGTGTCTGTGTTGTTGGCCTGACTGGTTGTGCTTCACATAATGTTTTTTAGGTTTGTTAAATTCTCGTCTCTCATCCTTTTTGTTGTATTTACCTCCATGATTTGTTCTTGACACCTGATGAAGATCAATTGTGTTGTGATCGAAACGTCGTGATTGTTTTGTTTTAATATAATTTTATTGTATTTCTACATACGTGACTTTACCGAAAAAAACCAATGAGCTATGAACTATTTTTTTTATTTTACCAGGTAAGGCCCCAGTGAGCTATATATAGCTCTTTCAGAAGCCATTTTGCCACAAATAAAAGCTCAAAGAAGTGGCTTATGTGGAAATGTAAAGCATCCAAATACTGTGAACGAATATTCCTAAATGCGGACGGAAAAACTGGAGGACTCGGGAAAAAAATCCACGCGACCAGCGGGAGAGAGACATGCAGACTCCAAATATACAGCAGGCGTCAGGGGTCGGGGATGGAATCTGCGACCGCCTGTATAAGCAGGCGAGGTAGGTCCCATCTCGCCACCGTGGTGCCTCTTACTTCCGTAACGCTCATTAAAATAACTTCTGGCGATGAGCGCGCATTCGAGAAGCTCCACGTAACATCCGCGTGGCGCCGTGCATAACTCCCCGGGGGGGGGGGGGGGGCTTGCTCGACCGCCGTGTGCTTACACGCCGAGTGGCTCCTGCGTCCGTCGGGCGGCGTGCCGTTGACGGGCGGGTCAAACCAGTAGCGCTTCTCCGTGTCGAACACCTTGATGCGGTTGCAGTAGATCTCGCGATTGGAGTGCGACGGGCCCAGCATGTCGGCCCGCCCGCCAAACACGTACATCTTCTGGTCGATGAAGGTGGCCGAGTGAAAGTCCCGCCAGCGCGGGAGGCCGCCCTGCGTCGATCGGATCGGCGAGCGCGGAAGAAAGTGGGTTAAGGGGCGGCTCTCGCAAAGGTCAACAAACAGAAAGGGGGCAAAGATATACCCCGCACGTGGCATGCAAGGGGCCATCTAGGAAGGTCCTGTTGAGCGAGAACCTACGATGGCCGGCACAGAGCACGAGAGGGTGGCGTCGCCAGCGTCACGCCCGGCCGGCGGTCTCTACGGTGCTGCACTGCACGGGGTACTCGGGGGGGAGGGAGGGGGGCACGCACGCACCCAAAGTTTTGTTAGGGCCAGTGGTGCGGCTGTTGCGATTTGTCGACAATGGCAGAGTTGTATTCACTAATATTCTAAAGACTTTGTGGATGTGATATGTAAAATTAGGTGGTGGTGGTAACGATGATGCGTGCAATAAACGAAGATGGAAATGAGATGAGTGGGTTGATGATGGGTGACCATGGGGAGTTTGGGGGACAGGGAAGGCGGCGTTCGTACGAGTGGGGAGGACAACAAGGGGAGAAGGATGGGTGGGCAAGAGAAAAAAATAAGTGGTGTTTAAGAGAAGAGTGGAAGGTAGTGAGAGAGGGTGATTTATTGACATGCAAGGGCAGTTTATTCCAGCGAAGACACTGAAGATCGAGACACTAAAGTTTGCAATATCATATATAACAAGCCAAAAGCAACACACTAACCTACTCTGAAATAACACATTCACCTGTGTACCGATTTAAAAGTAAACTGGGCTTTGGTTAAATTCCACTGATGAAAGCACGAACGCTGTACTCTACTGCCACCTACTGGACGTTAAACAGAACACAGGCTACGGGCATACATGTTACAATACACTTTTTTAAAAGGTGGAAAAAAATCAAGGGAGAAAATTGGATTCATGTAAATGAATTTCACATGCGTTATTTGTAAAAGTACACCAGTGGCAGTGTAGAAAACTCGAGCGAAAAATATGCTTTGTCATTTTGAGTAATCTACGTAGAGCGAAAACCCAATTAAGGTTATTACGGTAATACAACCAATCGCAGCAGGCGGTCTTGCAATAAAAAGTCTGCTCACCAACATGCAATGCGATAAGCTCTCTTTTTGATAAGCGAAAAGCAACTTACATAATTTTATCAATCTGTATTACGTACAGAATTTTCAGGTAGTATGGCAGTCAATCATCTTTTGGAATTCTCACATCCTAGACAAGGGGTCTCAAACTCAACTTACCTGGGGGCCGCTGGATGAGGCTGGGTCGCATCAAGTATTGCATCAAGTATTCCAAAAAAAAGGACAACTGATCCAATCTTCTCAATCTTTATTAATAACAGTTCAGAACATGAACGGTTCTTCAGAACATAGGCTTCTCTTACCTACTCCTTGCTGCCAGAGACCTGACAGTGCTTCCTCTTCTTACACAGCTGAGCCACATTTGGCTTGAGGGAGGAAGCAACTGAGACCCTCAGTATGGCTTGAAGATGCTCATCAGTAAGTTTGGACCTGTACTTTGACTTGTTAAAGTTAATGGTGCAGAAGAGCTTTTCACACAGATATGTGCTCCCAAAAAGGCACATGGTCCGCTTGAACATCCTCGAAAGCTCAGGGAAGGTGGGGAGCAATTCTCTCAAAAATTGTCCAAGCTTGTCTGCTTTTGCACTCACCTCCCTGAACTTGGCTTTGAGTTCAGAATTGCATTTCAGGTCAATTAGCTCCATTTGAAGCACAGGAGGGGCATCTTGCACATCGAAGAAGGGGTCAGCAAAAATTTGAAAAGTGTCTGTATGTCTTGAAGTCTGCAAACCTGTGATCAAATTCCTCCTGTAGCTTTACAATGGCATCAGCATACTTCTCACCACTGAATGGTGTGCCCGCGTCCATGAGTGCCTTGCATGCTGGGATATGGCAGAGGTTTGTCTGAGAGAGCTGGGCTTTCCATAACACAAGTTTTGTGGAGAATGCTCTGACTTTGTCATAGGCAGCACTGACAAGCTGCCCCTGGCCTTGTAACTTCTTGTTCAGTACATTCAGCTCCTGTGTGATGTCAACAAGAAAAGCTAAGTCCATGAGCCATTTGTGATCACTTAGCACAGGATCAGCCATCCCATCCTTCTCCATGAAGGCTTTCACTTCTGCTCTCAACTCAAAAAATATGGTTGATGCATTTCACAACTACAGACATCACATTGTCAAACTTCAGGCATTTGCTGCAAAGGGCCTGCTGATGGATAATGCAGTGCAGAGCAATGGCCTCCTCCACACCCTCCTCTTCCAGTTTTCTTTGAACAAGTGCCACCAGTCTATTTCTCCTCCCTGTCATTGATGGCGCTCCGGCGGTTGTTATTCCAGCAAACCTCTTCCATGGTAAACCGGCATCCACAATGGCATCACACAGCTGGCACAATATCTCCTGAGCGGTGGTCTGGCCATGCATTGGATTCACTGTGAGCAACTCCTCCGTCACTTCAAAATTGTCGTCAACACCACGGACATACATTGCGAGCTGCGCAGTGTCAGTGATGTCTGTGCTCTCATCAAGAGCGACTGAGTATGCACGGAAATGTTTGGCTTTCTAACGCAGTTGATCGTATATGTTACCTGACAGGTCAGAAATGCGCTCTGCCACTGTGTTGGCTGAAAGGCTTATGTTGCTAAACTGACCCTTCTTTTCCGGACAGACTATACTTGCAGCCTGTAACATGCACTTGTTGATGAACTCGCCGTCTTTGAATGGCTTTCCCGCCTTAGCAATCATCTCACTCACCACGTAGCTAGCTTCGACTGCTGCATCACTCTCTTTGCTTGCTTTCTTGAAAAAATCTTGTTGCCTCAGTAGACATATTTTAAGATTGGCGACCCGGTCCTCTCTCTCATCTCCCTGGTATTTTGCATACTCCTCGGTATGTCTAGTTAAGTAATGACGTCTGATGTTGTATTCCTTGTGCACCGCAACTTTCTCTGTGCATATAAGAAACGTCGGGGGTGCCCCTGTGCTCAACAAAAAAATATTCCGTCTCCCACTTTTCCTGAAATTGTCTGTGCTCATCGCCAACCTTTCTCTTCACGGCAGGTTTTGAGAAAGACATGACTGGGGCTGAGTGACAAAAAAAACACATTTAATAATAGAAAAAAAATTAATAAAAAAAACTACCATAATTTCCGGACTATTAGCCGCTACTTTTTTACACGCTTTGAACACTGCGGCTTAAACAATGATGCGGCTAATTTATGTTTTTTTTTGCACAAGCTTCATGCCGCCAAAACATTTACCGTCACAGACCAATTAAATTACCGAACAGGCCACATTGGACCAATCAAATGCACTCGCACTAAATTCTTCAGATCAGTCATTTTGCGCTTCATGCACACACCGTCATCATGGAAAACACGTGAAGGAATGCACATGATGCAGCTTTCAAGTTAAAAGGCGGTCGATCTGGCTGTCAAAGAAGGAAATAGAGCTGCTGCACATAAGCTTGGCATCGATGAATCAATGGTGAGACGTTGGAGACGGCAGCGTGAAGAACTGACTCAATGAAAAAGACGACAAAAGCTTTCAGAGGTAAAAAAAAGCAGATGGGATAGGCTGCAGCCCCCCCCCCCCCCGCAACCCTGATTAGGACAAAGCTGGGATAGAAAATTTGATGGGACTGTTCCTGGTTGGCTACTGTTTGGGAAAAAAACATTTACAGTACGTATTTGTGTATGTTACCGGTACTATTTAATTAACAGTTAAAAAAATATTTCCGTGTAAATATCTCATGTTACAACGTGGACACCTGCGGCTTATAGACAAATGCGGCCTATATATGTACAACTTTCTTTTTAAAGTTAGTGGGTGCGGATTATAATCAGGTGCGCTCAATAGTCAGGAAATTACGGTACTATCATTGCTTTGGCTTCTGCCTATCATACACTTTTACAGCGCTTTGGTCACCCTTAAGGTGGGCTTTCCATTGTGATATATTTACATGTTTTTATCCCAATACCTGAGTATTTGGGATCTTACTTAGTATGCCCTTTCTATATATTCTGAGAGGTATTTGAAAACTTTATCATTGTTCGTAGATTTTTTTGAGCACTTCGTTTTTCTTATCATTATTAAATTGATCAATCGTGTTCTCTCAGGTGTTTATACCTTTCACATTCATAAATAAAGTGATCTAGATTTTCTTATTTTTGTTTACATCCTACATATCCTTCTGCTCTACCAAATCTCCTTGGATGCCATTGAGCTAACTCTGGTGTCCATGTTACTCCACCTGTCTTAATTCTTAACATCAAGTGCATTGTCTCAGGTTTTATATCTTTTAAATTCTTGCTCTTTTTGATTAAATTGTTCTTGGTAAATTCGTTTTCTTTTGCGATTGCACATAGCTGTCCCTTTTCCTTGTCTTTGTTTCTCTTGTAATAATAATCTATAACTTCTTCTTTATAATATTCAGGTTCTAACCACCATTTGGCTTTTGTTCTTGCCACCCATCTCATGCTATTTGCTATCCATGTAATTCTTTTCCCTTTCCTAATGCAACACTCCGTTGTCTTTATTAGGTCACCGATTACTCTTGTTGAGTCCGCCCACTTCCTAAGTCCTCTGTACCTTGCACTGGGTGACAGGATATATTTTCCTTCCACTTGGTGTCACTCCTGAATCACGTTTCAACCAAGTGACTCACGTTGCTAATTCGCGTTGAATAACTTGTCAACAAACACCGGAAGCTGTCACGAGCCTGAGCTATTGTAAAAAAAAATAATAATTGAAAAAAAAATTGATGTTAAGTAGGGGGCCACAAAATATCGTTCCGCGGGCCGCAATTGGCCCACGGGCCGCGAGTGTGAGACCCCTGTCCTAGACTCTGCTGGTTGTGTTAGAACATTGTTCTTGACTACTTCTCAGAGGGGGGCCACTTTCGCCGATGTGACATCAGTGTGAGTGAGGGCCGCCACACATTTGAAACTATTATGCTTTGACAGCAGCAAGGTGATGGGGGGGGCTGTTTTTAAATGTTGCGTACTGTCGGGGGCTGCACGTCAAGGGGCCGCATTAAAGGCCACCAGGGGCTGGGCCAGTGGCCCGCGGGCCTCGCAATAAAGAGCACCGGTTTAGACACAGTCACTGAAGCGCAGAAGAGTGGCCAAGTTGCGGGCGGAAGACTGGCTCGCGGTGAGGCAAGTCCATTGGGGGTGGAACGGGAGGGGATTTGGATTGCAAAGAGTTGGACCTCGAGTCAAACACAGCGTCCGGGGACCGATTCGCTCGTCCATAAACGAGCCAACGCACACGTGCCTCCGTGACTTACGCCCGAGTTGGCGATTGAGACATGGGGGGGGGCGCGTTTCCATCGACGCCGGGATGACGAGCAACTCGCGGCAACGACACGCGCGAACCTGGCACGTGGTGGTTTATTAAAGCCTCTCCCGCCCCCCCCCCCCCCCGCCAAAGATTAGTTTTAACGTTTCTCAAGACAAGACAACAAACCCAATTACATTTAAACGATAAAAAGATAAGGGCTCCAGCGCGGTTGACAGACGAGAGGTTTTATTTAACCTCTAGATGTGGATGGATGTTCGTATGTATGTCTGTATGTATGTATGTTGAACTTCTTTCGCACTGAACGCAGCCAACCGTGATAATCGGGAGGTGAGGGGGAAGAACAACAAACTATGGGTCTGTGCGAGTCTATGTATGCTGAACTTATTTTACCACCGTACATAGCCAACCGTGTCCATCTGAGGTGGGGACACACACAGTGTGCATTGTCAAATATTACACAGGCACAAATGTTAGTGTAATATATGTACATAAAGGGCCATTGCTGCAAACGCTACCTATTTGTAGATTTTTCATTTTAAGGCCAAAGTGTTGAGAAACTTATTGCGCTTTTTGTTTATTGTGCTTGTGCACCAGTGCCAACGCAGCAGCATCGTCAAATAATGTTTTACAGACGAAAACATGCAGCATTTATTTATATTACATACATCAACGTGTAGGCTTTAAGTCGATCAGAAGGTAACGCAGCCAAACCCCCGTTTACCAATTTGTACGTTTCATACATCTGAACCGTCTAGATTTGTAGCTAGCTCTGAAGTTACGACAACACTGCGGTCGTAAAAAAAAACATCAATCATAATCGAGGGATATTTTTAGAGAACACTATGAAATAACCTATGCAAAAAAAATCAACTGGCATTTAACTCACTCGATGTGTGAATGACGTCTCATTTTGTCGATCCAAACGCCTAACCATTTACTCTCCGACGGGTCCTCAATTTGTACCGTGCGGTGTCCCGCACAACGTTCGAAGAGTCGAATCCGCTCCCGGGAGGAGGTAGCGCGAAACGTCGGGACAAATGTGCCGAATATGCAGCACATGACCCACTCCACCCCCCTCCCGCCGAAAGCACGTCGGAGACCTACGGCAGCGCAGCCGCGGTAAACTACGTCACACCCTTATTTTGCTTACGAAAGCCTGAGGGACACTGAACAGAGTTACACGCGCCGCACGTACGCACTCAGCATTTACAGTCAATGCTATTAAAATAATTGTTTTCCCCCTTGCCGTTCCGGGTGCAGCGTGTAACGCACAGACCAAGGACTCGGTGACTGACAACTCTTCTACGAACTAAACTATTTTTTTTATTTTACCAGGTAAGGGCCACTGAGCTATGTACCTCTTTTTCATAAGCGACCTGGCCACAAATGATAGCTCAACGAGATGGCTCATCACGTGGAAATATATAGCAGTCAAATACTCTAAACGCGTGATGTTGATTCAAAAAATGGGGGGTAAAACCGGAGAGACCCGGAGAAAAATTCCACGTGACCACGGCGAGAGAGACATGTAAACTCCAAATGTACAGCAGGCATCAGGGTCGCGATCGACCTCACGATGTCCTGTATACCAGGTGAGGGAGTTAACATATGCCCTCGCCACGCCGCCGGAATATGCAGCCGTGCCTAAGTTGGACGACAGGACGTGCCGTCGATTTACAGAGAGCCATGGTAAGTATATCGTCTTCACGTGCACAGCTTGATCACGCGATATGAATCTGCTGTGGTCAGGGTGCTTCAGCCAAACACATTGTTAATATAGGATGGTTTTATAAACTTAAGTAACGTAAAGTTACGCACAGAGCACAAGGCAGTGCAGCAAAATCTAATGTTGCACCCCACCTGTATGCCTCCCCGCCTCCCAACAATCCGCGCTGTCCAACCGTGATGAAACGATTGCACGTTGTCGTGAGACTGCATTGGCAGTGGTGTAAAAAGCGCAAACTCACCAAATTTGTCAAAAACATTAAGAGACGATCTGTCTTATGCAGAAGGGCCCACTGCCTTAAACGTTACCTATTTGATATGCTTTCCATTTTAGGGCAGCGTTATCTACGAACGTGTTAGCGTGGTGAAAGTACGGTCGAATAACCCCCCCAGGATAAGCTCTGTGTGGGGAGGCCTTCATTCAGCAGTGGATTGATAAGAGGCTGCGGATACGTGCGCAAAGTTGGGCACGAATAGTCGCGTGAAAACACGTTAACAGCCGTAGCACAGGAATCGCACCACCGTTTCCTCACCAGCGCGTGGATTAGTGTCCAGGTCATCGTCGTGGTGTCCATTTTGTGAACGTCATTGGAAAAACAATCGGCCTGCGAGAAATATACAAAAAAATCACAAACACCCTCCCCCATACCAACATTTATTTACCTTGTGCATATATTTTGTTGATACGCTGTACCTGAAAATCAATGCAAAGTCACTTGTAAGCAAACACAAGGGAACTGTTTAAACTGGCGCAAAAGGACAACTGTGCCACGGCCTGTCAATTCTGTTTGAACCAAACATGTATTTTCCTTTATAATTATTCCAATCCGGCCGGCTAACAAAGTCGTTAAGAGCACATGCGGTTTGCAAACAGAAGGTTACAAGCTTAGGTTTGAAGTTTGCAACTTACCCTCCCGAAATAATGCTTTGTGTATTACATTTATTGTTTAACGTGTCTTTAACATGTAGGTGTTTGCGAGCAATATAATATATTTTTTAGGTTAGATCGCTGAAATATAAATGTGTCGCAAACCCTCCTCCACCTGACACAGCCAATTAGTAAGGTTTGTCACGTGAACAAAATGTGCCAATTAGTCACTATGAAGTGGCACGTTTTGTTGTGGGTTTGCTCTCAAACACACAACCGGTGTGCTGAAGCAGTAACTAATTGACACTTTTTGTTCATGTGACAAACCTTACCATTAGCCATGTCGGGTGGACGTGGGTTCACGGTGGTGCCACGGTGGCGAGATGTTAACTACCTCGCCTGGTATACAGGAGCTCGTGGGTTCGACCCCGACTCTATGACGCCTGCTTGATATTTGGAGTTTGCGTGTCTCTCTCCCAGTGGTCACGTGGATTTTTCGACGGGACCTCTGGGTTTTCCCTCCACATTTAGAAACGTGTGTTTCGGTTATTTGGCTGCTGCAAATGTCCACATGATAAGGCCACTTCGTTGAGATATCCTACGTAGCCAGGTCGCCTCCGAAAAAGAGCTATATAGCTCAGTGGGCCTTACCTAGCAAATGAAAAAAAGGTCTTTAGTTTTTCGGCACATTTGCATGACCTAATCAAAAAAACACGTGATCATGTTTTACGTGTGCTCATCATCATCAATGGTTTTGTGCTCAACGTCAATCTCCATCGTCGTCGTCTGGACGAAACGAGGCGACACACGGACGCGGGCGAACGCTGTGGCGGCTTACCAGCTGCTCGTACCCGCCGAAGATGTACATGCACTTGCGCAGAGCCGCCGCGGAGTGACCGTCCCTGGCGCCGGGCACCGGGCCGGACACGTGTGGGCGCACCCACCGGTGGGTGTCTGCGGGTTAACGGGGAAAAACGTGGCACGCACGCACAAGCACGTCCGCGCATCGAACGTCACTTTTGAACGTCACGTAATTTTTTTTGTATTGCAATCGCTCCCATCGCACGAGTTAATAATGGAGCTCAAGAACGGCTTTTGCTTTGGCGCCTTGAGATGTCGTGCATGAGAGGTGCGATATAAATAGGTACTTTTGCAAACACAGTTGCTGGGTATAGGCCCAGAGGCCCAGGACGTCAACCGGCCATCAACAAAAAAGCATCAGAGTAGTAAACAGATAAAGAGTTAACACGTTTCACGCATCAAGAAAGGTTTTATGGACTTAGGAAATTCGAGACAAAGGGAGGGATTTTTTTTTTTACGATTATGATGATAATAAAGAGTGGTTAAATCGAGCAGAACGATCAGCATCATCTTCACCAGCCAGGATCTATCCACTGCAGCACTCACAGATGTCGAAGGAGTACAGCACGTTGCAGGCACCATCTGTGTCGTTGCGTCCGCCCCAGACGTAGATGGCGTCTTCCACGAGCACGGCCGTGTGGCCGTAGCGCATGTACGGCATCTGCTTAGGGCCGATCACCGGTGGCAGCTTGCTCCACCGCATCGACACTGCATGATGCACGTGTGAATGTGAGCAATCAACCAACGACCCGTGCTTCGAATGTACGAGTTCGGCAAGTGACCATCCGTGCCCACCCACTTGCCCCCCGCCAGCCCACCTCTTACGGTGTAATTAATCTGTTGAATCAGTGCAGGGAATTCAACATTGAGATTACTTTTTTTGGGATTATTTGGACTTGGCCGCAGCAATGTGGAATATTCACTATGTCCTTGCAATGTTATGAACCGAGGGGGTGTCCTGAAATACTTGATAACCCACATATATATTTCATGAATGACAACCCACGCTTCATCCGCTGCTCCATCAATGCGTGGATGTGCGAGGTGAACGAGTGGGCACGCAATGGGTGTCCATCTCCTTCGACTCAACAACCCGTGCAACTAACCACAAAAGAGGCGTGTGACGATTCACAAACCACCCACACCCCCTCCACCCCCTTATGATTTGATGCAATGAAGGGGCGAGCACAAATAACCTGATAATCCACATATATACTTTATATTTTAAATAACATCATGTCAAGATGAATTTAAACACTTGACAATACACTTTGGTTTCGTGTCATCTCCCCACTCATGGGCACACAATGAACTTAACCTGGCTGCAACTTATAGCTCAACGAAGGGGCTTATCATGTGGAAATTTATAGCAGCCAAATACTCTAAATGCAAGTTGATTCTAAATGCGGAGGGAAAAACCGGAGGAGCCAGAGAAAAATCCACACGACCACGACGAGGAGACACGCAAACTCCAAATATATAGCAGGCTTCAGGGTCGGGATTGAACCCATGACCTGTTTTGATTTAAAGCTTTCGTGACTGCAGTCACAAAAGCTTCTTGGTTCTTTCGGTAAAGTCACGTTGAAGGGAAACGTCGTGAGAATTTTATTGTTTTATATATATTTTATTATTTTATTGTTTCCCTTCAACGTGACTTTACCGAAAGAACCAAGAATATAATAACATGACCTGTTGTATACCAGGCGGGGTAGTCAACGTCTCACCACTGCGGTGCCCGCCGTAGCAGTGGTACGGTGATTATCGGCACCGCGCTGTGAACCAGGCAGCCCGAGTTCAATTCCTAGCCACGGCTAAAATTGGTGGCAAGTCATATGAAAGCTGGCATTGCCCTCCGACACCTATTCATCAACTCACACTGACCAGCGTGGTGAAGTATGGTAACATACAAAAAAATGATGACTTGCATGGAGTGGGAAGTCCTAATCCCATTGGCGAATTGAAAATAGCTGGAATTTATTTGTTTTTAGTCATTTATATTATTTTAAGTTTTTTATAGCGTCTGTACAGTTGTTTGCTCCAATAGACTAGTTGTTTCATTATTATTTCCATAAACGTTTGCATTAATCATAATAGATTCCCACAAACGCAATTCAATGTATGTATCGTGAGCGTATTAATCCATGTTAAATTATTCATCAACGCCTTGTTACATGCCCGATATAGAAGGAACCTTCACCCGCTCGCACAATACGTTGTGGCCTTAACAGATAAAATTATTATATGATTGCCGACGGTTTGGGCAATGAACAAAGGGCCAATGCCAGAAACATCACGAATTAAATAGATTTATTTTTCTTCGAAGGCCAGTGTTGTTCACGAGCATGCCGAGTTTGTTTCTATCTGGGTGAATAGTTGAAGACTTATTGCTGTGCAGTGTTACAAACAAGGCATTCGCAAACACGCAACCATCCGGACCCGTCAAGGCTATTTTAACAATGCTGACAACGCACTTTAGTTTTCAAACGACATTGGTAAATTTATAACCATGAAACGATATACAACTCACATGGTGTTTTTTTATCATTTACAATTTAAATATTGGATGTGTTAAAGAGTTGACGTGAGACTAGGTGTGGTATGCGTATTTTGGCCACTGTAGAACTGCGCGGGGTTTTAAGTTGTAGATTTTAACATGCTTGTAAATAATAAGATAATAAGTGTCCTTACGAAGTTTGCTACGTGTATATCCCACTTCGCACGCTGGACAATCTCGCAAACGAGAATATCTTCATAAAATAACAATCCTTAAACTCAACCAGTTATTCATTTACAAACAGACACTTATCATAGGAAACATGATTTAGTGATGCTCCATTTGGCATTGGTGCACAAGCACAACCAACAACAATAATCTACACCATAATCTAAAAAACACACACAACAATTAAACCCGGCTTAATTCATTGTCCTTACTTGACAAACATTATTTAACACGCACCTCCAATAAGCACGGTTGGTTATGTACGGCGTGAAAACAGTTCAACATACATAGACATACATACTACAAAAGAAGCCTGCTTACACGCACGAGGCATGTGAAATGTATTCTAACAGTGGTAAACCTCATAATACGACGCCGATTAAGTCAGCTTCTATTCCGAGCGACACAAACTTTACACGGCACTTTCACATCGCTCGAGACTCACCCAGGTTAAAGATGTGCACGTCGATCTGCCGCAGAGTCTCGTAATCTTCACCGGAGCAGTATCCGCCAAATGAGTAAACCTGCCAAAAAAATTATCAATCGCACACCACCGGATGTCTCGGCACAAGGCTTGGCATCTCACTTTACGGGAAAGAGTGTTTTACGGAATTCGGCTCCAGGGGGTGAAACATTACCGACGTAAACACCATCGTGCATGTTTCGAAGACTACGTGGCGCTAAACGCAGTGTGATTTGTCATATCAGATCTCCCAACAAAAGCCACCGACCAGTTTCTGGGAGAGATCTTAACTCAAATCCCCCCTGCTGCAGTGTGTATCCACACCGCGAAATGGTACGGGTCCATTTTAAAAGAGTAGGATTGTACCATCGGCAGGTGAAAGTGGTTGGCTTTTGATGAAACATCTTAACGAGTTCCTCACCACAGTTAGCATCCTGTAGTTTTGAAATCGTTTATACCTGTTTAACCACCGTATATATACTAAAGAAGTCTCTACAATTGAAAATACGCTGTTAAGTACCTGTAAACTCTTATAGACGTTAGGGGATCTGTTACTCCCTAATACATGTAATACAAACCCAGCATGTATTTACATGGATTGTTAAATTATTGTTGTTACGCTTGTTTTCCAGGAATGCCTCACCGAATATCAAAAGATAATTTTTTTCAGAAGGGTCCTGCAAAGATTTCATTGTTTGCAGGGCGTGATGTTGCTTCTTGTAATCCTCAGTTATTTGCAGGTAATGTTTTGAGCACTGGAATGTTTATATACGCTGTGTGCATTTCATATAGCTATGGCAAGGACACGGGAGAACCCAGAGGGAACCCATGCAGAACATACAAACTCCACACAGACAGGTGCCAAAGTCATGAATCTAACTCGAGCCCTTCTTTGCTACGAAGGAAATCGATGCAAAAAAGTTCCAAAGTTGTTTCCTACTCAAGCATACGTGCGCTGGCATCCATCACTTGTGTACAGCCCTGAGCCAATGTTGAAAATTGCACATTTCTATGGTTGGGGGTGGGCAAATATATGAATAAGACAACCACTGTTGTATAAATCACATCAATTGATGCAAACATTAAAACTCTTACCAAAAAAAGTGCGGGTTACATCTACAGTCTAGAAAATTATACAAGGTAAATTATGTGAATGAACTAAACAAAGTTGAACCAGTCTCATTTGGAGAAAACGAACACCCCCCACAGACGAATTGTGTTGTGGTCACAGGCAGGCCCACTCCCCCCGCCGCGAGGGTCACATCTATTTATGTTGAGAATATACGTGCGAGCCCCAGCATCGTCAGGCAGGCTAACAGGGCACCCAGGCGCTGTTCTCAGATTAGCTCTGTTAATTTCGTTTTCTCTTTACCATGCCCACATGTAAAGTAAAAAAAAACGATTATTCGTTTACCAACCTTCACCGACGTGCACTGACCAGCACGGTGAAGTATGGTCAAACAAGTCCCAAGTGTGACACGGCATGATGAGGCATTCATCCAGCGGTGGTATGACATGGGGCAGAAAAGTTTTCAAATACCGTGTGACAATTGTTTAGATCTTTACTAAAGTTGAACTGGATTCGAGTATAAATTCCCATGACTTTTGGAATCGATAACAGATTCCGTAAACAATAGAAAAATGGACAATAGATTAATACCCCTATCTTAAATGGTCAAAGGACATGGGTTTGTATTAAATTATGCAACGTTTAAGTCAGAGTGGTTTCCCATATCAATGCATGCAGAGGGGGTAAGGGGGTGATTCATCACCTGTTTAAAGCCACGAGTCATTGGTGGAATGTCCACATTCCCATGGCAGGGCGAGTCTATTCATAGTACAACCACTGCTGACGTCTCACAATGGGATGGTGGAGTCTATTTTATTGACTTTGGAGAGGATTAGGGAACGTGTCAACCCCCAAGCAGGATTCAAACTCGCAACCTTCAGATACTGACAGTGAGATCTAACAACAGCCACATCCAGTCAAAAAATAAAATACACAGAAGACATGTGCCAAGACAAAAATAACTTAATGTTCAGCCCAGGTCCGGTTTTTCCATAAAATTAAAAAACACCTGGGACCACATCAATTCCATACACCCAGCCATCAGATTTACCACGGAGGTGGAAAAAGATGGCAAGCTACCCTTTTTGGATGTCTTAATTAAAAGGAGACCTGATGGCTCAATGAGCCACTGTCTACAGGAAAGCTACCCATACAGATGCTTACTTGAAACCGGATTCCGACCACTATCCATCCCAGAAGAACTCCCTCATCAAGACTCTATACCATAGAGCCCAATGCATTTCCGACCAGGAACACTTTACCTGTGAACTCAAACACGTACACCAGGCTCTCAGGGCTAATGGTTACTCCGACTACACAATCCGATACTGACAGTGAGATCTAACCACAGCCACACCCAGTCAAAAAATTAAATACACAGAAGACATGTGCCAAGACAAAAATAACTTAATGTTCTGCCCAGGTCCGGTTTTTCCATAAAATAAAAAACACCTTCTTTAGTTCTTTCGGTAAAGTCACGTAGAATGAGAATAAAACAATAAAATAAAACGATAAAATTCTCACGACGTTTCGGCCACAACACAAGTGGCCATCAGGTCTCCTTTTAATTAAGACAGCCAAAAAGGGTAGCTTGCCATCTTTTTCCACCTCCATGGTAAATCTGATGGCTGGGTGTATTCCGGGACCACATCAATTCTATACACCCAGCCATCAGATTTACCATGGAGGTGGAAAAAGATGGCAAGCTACCCTTTTTGGAAGTCTTAATTAAAAGGAGACCTGATGGCTCAATGAGCCACTCTGTCTACAGGAAAGCTACCCATACAGATGCTTACTTGAAACCGGATTCCCACAACCATCCATCCCAGAAGAACTCCCTCATCAAGACTCTATACCATAGAGCCCAATGCATTTCCGACCAGGAACACATTACCTGTGAACTCAAACACGTACACCAGGCTCTCAGGGGTAATGGTTACTCCGACTACACAATCCGCAAAGCCATCACTCCAGTCATGAAGAAGGATCCTCTTGTGGAGCCACTCAAAACCATCACCTTACCCTACATTGCAGGGGTCACTAAAAAGATCTCCAAAATCCTGAATAAACACAAGATTCAGGTCCGATTCAACACAGTACATAAAATCCGTGATCTGGTTCCATCTATAAAAGATGCTGTTCCAGACATACAGTACCCGGGCATTTACAACTAAAGTGCCTCTGTGGTAGTAGCTACATTGGAGAAACCAAACGACATATCTCGGACCACATCCGCGAACATAAAGCAGACTTGAAACACGGTAGAACAAACTCCTCCGCCGTGGCAGATCACTGTTATAATTCAGTGGGCTCACATGACATTGACTTCTCCAAGACGGGAGGTTCTTTGCAAGCCAACCGGCTACCATGAGAGATTCGTTCATGAGGCTATCCACATATACAAGCAAAGAGACAATTGCAACCGAGAAAATGGATTCTGGCTTAGTAACCATTAGAAAGATGATTTAAACCATTTCGGTTCTTAATTAATTATTTTATGGTGACCTTCAGACCGCAGCTCTTTCGCTGGCATTGACTCTTAATACTTCTAACACCACGGTTAATGGTATGGTTTAAAACATGATTATAACAGCGCCTCGCAGCTGTTTCTCTCCTCCCTCCTTTGTTCCGACCATGGATGGACTCGTCCGTCTGAACGGGGCTCGTAGCGGTCCGTGGTGCTGATGTGGAGGGTAAGAATCCACCCATTTTTTCGCCATATAGCATCGTGATATATAACGACTTATTGTTGGTAGCTCAGCTGATTGGAGAATATATAGAGTTTATTGATAACATTGAGGTAGTTTATATTTTAGTTTTTTTATCTGTTTACTATATGGTATTCATTATATAGTGTAGTGTATACCCAGTTGCTGTTAATAGCTCTGCTTTGTGAAGAATATATTGAGTACATTTATTATATTGATGTAATTTAGACTTAGGTTTTTTTCACATCGGTTTACTGTATGATAGTTGACTTGTTGCAGCCCCTTTGCCGTCCTTGTACGAAGTGCCTTTGTGGATGTGTAGGCTTTGACTTTAACATAGCTATTTCTGTGACCAGTCACAAGCTAATCCCTCAACTGTTTCAATGCTAAATTCTCCTGTTTGATATGTAAGCCCCTTTGTCAAGGTGCCTCACTTCTCTCAACCAGCTTAAAAGATGCTGCGAATCTTAGCAGCGTTCATAGTAGCTCTGTTGTCCCGACAGGTTTGTTCCTTTCACCTGAAGAAGGCCACTTGTGTTGTGGCCGAAACGTCATGAGAATTTTATTGTTTTATTTTATTATTTTATTCTCATTCTACGCGACTTTACCGAAAGAACCAAAGAAGATGAATCCTTGCAGTCACGAAAGCTTTAAATCGAAATTTAAAAAACACCGTTTCCACCTGTTAATGAGTTGATGGTCAACCTCAAAGAGGGGTGTGTGATGATGAAGAAGTTGACAAAGACATATGTTTATGAAAAAAAATAACAACCACACAGCCCAACCAACGTCTCCTCATTGCAAACTGCATTTTGGTCAGTTCGAAGTAATCGGCCTCATGGCGTCACACGGGCCATATGACAAGAAGCCGCTTGCCGTATGACAAGCCGCTTGCCGCATGAAGCGAACCAGCGGGGCGGTATAAAACTGATTTGTGTCTAGTTTGTTGTCCTTACCCTGCGCCTCCGATTAGCAGGCTTGGCTATGTACAGTGTGAAAGAAGTTCTACATACATACACACAAAGATGCATACAAACGAAGCCGCCAAGGGCGGTATAAAACGAAGTAGCGGGGCGGAGTGAAACAAAATCGCGGGGCCATGTGAAATCAAGCAGCAGGCTGTATATTCAGGCTCATGGCCCCTGACACAAGTCAGCGGGGCGCGCTACCTTGTGCCCCACGGCGACGGCGGCGTGGTTGACCCTGCGGGGGCCCCCCTCCAGGTGCGTTGTCCAACGAAGCATGGCTGCTTCCTGTGTCGCACCCACGCCTCCCCCACCCTCCAGTGGCCACCGGGTAAAAAAGTGAACTCCAGTTGTGCTTTGGTATATCCCTCGCCTCCTTTCTCTCCGCCCACCCCCTTCTCACGCCATCATCTCGTCCGTCCAGCGTGCACCGCCTTGCCCATGGAAGCGAGCGCTGCTTTCTCACACACCAACGACAGTTCGACGAGAAGCGTTGAATAATACTAATCTTGTACGGCTATTTTTTTCGTAATCCACTGCTGGATGAGAGCCTTCCCATGCCACGCACGTCGTGGGAGTTATCTGATCAAACTTCATTGCACTAGTCAATGTTGGCCAGCAAAGGCAAGGGAGAGCACACATGACAGCATAGAAGTACAGGACAACAATGGGTTTTGCTATACTGCTTTGCCTGCGAATGAAAGCCGCCTCCTCCTCTCCCCACACTAAGTCATGGGGGTTGTTTGACCATACTTCACCACGCGAGTCAGTTTGGGTTGAACGGGCGAGGTTGGGTTGGACTGGTTAAAACATCACTCGGCCATCACATTTATTTTGCTGATCTACGACAGGGTTTGGCAACCTGTTACTCTGGAGCCACACGCGGCTTTTTAAAGACTGCTTCATGAGATTATTTATTAAGGGCCACCACCACCTCTTATTCACGTGCATTGCGGCTCTTGAAACACCGAAATATAAAGGCGTCAGTGTCGGGATCGAACCCACGACCTCTCCTGCATACCAGACGAGATAGTTAATATCTGGCCAACAATAGAACAAATAAGCATACAATGCGTCTCCTTCACATATCTGTCCCTTGTTTTTTTTACAGTCGTTCACTTGGCCAACAACTGACTGGACCCACTGCACAATGCAGTAAAATGTACACAACTTGGCGTGTAATGCCACTGCCATTACACGTTTTAAAGTACCGTCGCCGTGGAAATGGCAGCGATTAAGACTTGCTCGTGCGCAGATGCCTGGCGGATAATTTCTATGGCAGGGCCGTGAGAGGTGACAGCCGATTTAGGACGGAGGCCCTTCATCCAGCTGCGGACTGATCGTGGCCGGGAATCGAACTCGGGTCGATGGATGTTGCGATCGTCGAGGACGACAGGTAGCGCGGGCATTGTCCTTCGGCGGGTTTCCGTCACGGGAATGTGGAATTCACTACGCTGGTTCACAGGAGCAGCAACAACAAGAGACGTTGAACTTTGAATACCGCAATCCCGCTTTGGCCAGGGACAAGGGAACATCACCACAACACCATTAATAGAACAAGGCAACTCGATACGAGAACTTCTGCGATACCCAAGTGGCGAACTATTAAGCTGGTATTAAATATGGGCATGTCATATGCCTGTTGTTCTTAGTGGGATTAAGTGGATGCAACCGCTTTAGGATGTTAATGGGCGATATGATCATTATCATCGGACTGAATTACACACCTTATTACGACGCATCATTTAGATATCGGTGTCCGAACACCACATTAATACGCTTCTAAAATATAACTCTCGTCAGTTAGGGCATAAGATACTTTATTCGGAATTATTTGCGTAACCTGGGACTAATATAGAATAACGAACCAACAATTTTAGAATTGTCTACAAACCCTGTAATTTATCATGGCCCCACCCCCAATTCGAATCTTCCAGAGCCCGAGTAACTTTACACAGAGCAATTCGCGCAAATGAAGGGGACTTTAACGCGAGACAAATAACTTCAAGCGCTTTAACTGATCCACGGAACATCGCGGGCGTCTTGTAGGCGCATTTGTCTAACAGACTGCCGGCAATGCAACAGGCACACGTCTCACACACACACACACACCCCCCTTAAATAAAGCGTGTGCCGGGTGCCCCGTAAACTCGTACAAAACCCGGGTCTCTCGCGCCATTACGACGCACACCGGATTACAAGACGCGCCACGAAGGACATAAAAATTGCACTTTGACAGCATTGGACATTGTGTTAACATCCGCGTGGGATTACAACGACACACGCAGACAACGCGTCTTAGAATAGAGTATTTGTCCGCTAGAAATTTCCGCATAAGCCACCTCGTTGAGCGACCAACTCGTGATAGGCGGAGTTTGCTTGTGCAAAAAAAAATAAGTACGTAGCTCGGTGGGGCCTTACCTTAGTTAAAATAAAACAGTTGTGTTGACACTTCCTATGAACAAGCGAAATAAGCAACGCTCGTTTACATTTCATAGACCACATTGGAAAGCATCCCCCCTACCCCATCTCACCCGGCCAATCGCGTGCTAACGTTGGCCAGGTCACGTGGTGCGCTTGCGGCCAATCCACGCGCGTTCTCCGATAGGGGTGGTGGAGTACCCCCCCCCCCGCGCGTATGCGCTGTACGAATTCCACCTCCCCTCGTGTACCACACAAACAAACAAACTCAAGCGGGGCTAAAGCGAATTGCAACAACTTTCTTTTTTTCTTTAAAGATTATTAAAGCACGGCCGCCGGTGTCGGTCCGCTGCTGGATGACGGCACCACGCCCGCCGGCCAAGCGGTGAAGCGATACACAAACACAGGGCGACTTCAAACATTTGGGTAAACCGTCAACCAAATGCAGTCCTACCTTGTTTTATTCCTTACCAAACCCCGGCGGGAGCAGTAAACCACCGGCGGCGGTCGTCTTGAGCTTGTGAGGGCGACACGAACGACGTTTTATTTGTGTTAATATTTATGTATTTAAAACTACTCAAAAGTTGGAAGGTTTCAGCTACGACGGATGTCTTAATTTGGTGGTAAAATTTTTTTTAAAAAAAATAAAGAAACGCCGTGACAATAACAATTGTTCGTAACTTTGTACCAAATGTAATTTTAATATTGCTTTAGAAAATGTTTTAAGAACTATTTTACGACAAAAAATATGAAAAAAAGAACGCCGAGACACTGCCCCCTGCTACGCGTGGCCCGAGTCGCGGGCGTCTCTTTGAAGGACCAACGCCGGCGGGCGCTGCTTTCAGATTTCAAAGCGCGGATAAGCGGCACGGGCGCGACGTCCGCGCTCGCCCATTGGTCGAAGGTGCGTGTGGGGTTGGTGGGTGGGGGGGGGGGGAGACACGGCGGCCAATAGGCGCGCGTCTTTGACCTCGCCGTTGGTTTAATCCGCGCTATGAAATTAAAAAGGGTCCGTTAACAAACAAAAAAACACGCGCGCACAACTTTTGGTTGTCCGCGGCGATGCCTGACAAGAAGAGAACACAAAGTCACTGAGCTGTTAACCCGTACGGTTTTATTAAGCCCGTATTCTTTGGTCTGTAGTAAGGTAGCCAGCACTGATAAGGGGTTGACAGGCGCGTAGTGGTTTCTTGTTCATGTTTTTTTGTTTGTTGCAGTTGCACCCGATTCAAGAGCCGAATGGCTCACAGGGCTATACCTGAAATCCTGCGTCCTTTCACTGGAAAAAAACACCTCTGCGGTACAAAATTCTACTCACCTGCTATCGACAATCAAGGGTATTTCCCTGTCCCCAGACGACCTGCTTGTCAGTTTTGATGTAGTTTCCTTATTCACCAAAGTTCCTGTACCTGACACCATCGCAATCATTGAAGGCTTGGTTCATCAAGGACTAAACACTGAGGTACCCCCCCTGGTGAGACACTGCTTAACCAATACGTACTTCACTTGGACTGGAACTTTCTATAAAAAAACTGAGGGCACCCCAATGGGCTTCCCGCTATCTCCGGTTATAGCCAACATTTTCATGGATAAATTTGAGACTGACGCCATCCAGACTGACACTTTGCGCCCAACCTTATGGAAGAAGTACGTGGATGACACTTTTGTCATCTGGCCACTTCGCCGGCCTGCTCTAGACCAATTCTTCGACCACATCAATTCCATACACCCAGCCATCAGATTTACCATGGAAGTCGAAAAAGATGGCAAGCTACCTTTTTTGGATGTCCTAATTAAAAAGAGACCTGATGGTTCAATGAGCCACACTGTCTACAGGAAAGCTACCCATACGGATGCTTATCTGAAACCGGATTCCCACCACCACCCATCACAGAAGAATTCTCTCATCAAGACTCTGTACCATAGAGCCCAATGCATATCCGACCAGGAACACATAGTGAACTCAAGCACGTATACCATGCTCTTAAGGCTAATTGTTACTCCGACTTTACAATCTGCAAAGCTATCACTCAAATCATGAAGAAGGACCCTCTTGAGGAGCCTTTCAAAACCATCACTTTACCCTACATTGCGGGGATCACAAAAACGATCTCCAAAATCTTGAATAAATACAAGATCCAGGTCCGTTTCAACACATTACATAAAATCCGTGATCTGGTTCCGTCTGTAAAATATGTGATTCCGGACATACAGTACCCTGGTGTCTACAAACTAAGTTGCCTCTGTGGTAGTAGTTACATTGGAGAAACCAAACGCCATGTCTCGGACCGCATTCGTGAACACAAAGCAGACCTTAAACACGGTAGGACCAACACCACGGCCGTGGCAGATCATTGTTATAATTCAGTAAGCTCACATGAAATTGACTTCTCCAAGACAGAGGTTCTTTGTAAGCCATCTGGCTACCATGAGAGATTCGTTCATGAGGCTATCCACATATACAAGCACAGAGACAATTTCAACCGAGAAGATGGATTCTGGCTTAGCAATCATTGGAAGGATTTGATAAACCATTTCAGGTCCTAATTGATTGTTCACGCTTACGGTGGCTTTCAGACAGCATACATTAATTTTTTGTCTCCCCCCTCCTCTTTTCAGAACATAGATGGACTCGTCCTTCTAAACAAACTGCCAAACCGCTGCCCGTGGTGCTAACGGTTTTTTTTTTATAAATACAAACACCGTTTAAAATATATAAATGCCAACCGCCACTTCTTTCAAATGTTTCTTGCCGTTGGTTTTCACACCTGATGATGACCGTTTCTGTAATGGTCGAAACGTCGTGAGAATTTTTATTGTTTTTTACATATATTTTATTATTTTATTGTTTCCCTTCAACGTGACTTTACCGAAAGAGCTAAGAATATGAATAGGGCTATACCTAATAAACGAAACTGAAAAAAAACTGAAACTGAGTGTAAACTAGTCCTGAATACCTCCAAAACCAAGGTGCTATGCTTCTCACCAGGACTAAAGCAGGAAGTTTTTTTTCCACAATTACATTCCTTAAATAATTATCAAATAGAGCAAGTCAAGATCAATTCCTTACAGGTGCGTCACATGCTGAGTGGCTGATTACTTATCTATTACATCACCTCCACCTCTGATCTCGAATGGTCATCCTGCTGCACTATTTAAGACTGGGAGCAAGTGAATGTCTTCACGATTCTGGCAAATCGCCCGAAGATGCTGGATGTAATTTCCAGCGAAACGTCACGCTACTCAAATAGTAAATGTTGTGGATCCACTCTTCAACACACACCGGTGGGCTAAAGTAGTGAACTATTTGGGCTTTCAACGTGTCACTTTTTTACTGATTGTCCGTGTCGGGTGGTGGAGGGCTACGACACAGCGTTGGTGTACGGTGCTATTTCAGGAATATTTTGATGTTTTTTTCCCTGGATTTTCTGTTTGCACAAAGTCACATAGTCACTTTAAGATGTTTTTCTTGTTCGTGTTTTTGTTTGTTGCGGTTGCACCCGATTCAAGAGCCGAATGGCTCACAGGGCTATACCAAAATAATTGTAAAAAAAAGAAGTATCTTGGGGTCATCCTGGATTCAAAACTGAATTTTGAAGATCACATTGATTATATTGGTAAAAAGACAAAAATTAAAATTGGTTTTCTGTATCGACACAAGCACTGCTTCCCCCCAATTTTCCGTTTGGAATTGATAAAAGCTACCATACTGCCTCTACTTGACTACTGTGACATCGTGTATAAATCAGCCCCAAGTACTGTACTGAAGAAGCTTGATTCCATCTATCACTCTGCCTTAAGATTTACATTGAACTGCCCATATAGGACTCACCACTGTGATCTCTACATTGGGTCAAACTCAACATCTCTTAATGTTCGACGGCTTGTGCACCAGATCTTATTTATTCACGATGTACTTACAAAAAAATCCGCAGACTACCTGCTGGATCTCCTCTCTGTTTCAAAGAACAAATTTGACCTCAGGTCTTCGCTCATTTACCAGCTTCACATTCCCTATTGCCGTACAAAAACTGGAGGAAGGGCCTTTGCTATTGATGCACCCAGGGTCTGGAATGCTATTGCCAATAAACTGCAACTTGAATCGCTACCAATGAGATCTTCTCTCAAAACTGCTCTAGAGGAGTTGTACACCCCTAGCTGCCACTGCTATTCATTGGCGTAAAATAAAATAACATTTTTGCTCCGGATGATGCTGCAAAGTATTATCTGTATTTTGATTTAGCATGCTGATCTTAAAGGTGTATTGAAACATTTGATACTCCGACTGATGCTTCTGTTGTTGTGGAGTAACTCATGCAGCCAACTATGGCTCTAGGATTTGGTGTTACATGTTATTTATCTTTTATTGTAAAAATTCAGTCACAGTCCCTATGATCACTGTTACGTTGCAATTATGGCTTTATTTATTGGTGATTTCGAAAAGTTTTTTGGTTTGGACATGTTTGTTTTGTTCTAGTACGGAGTTAGACTGATGGCCTTAATCTAAGTTTTCTTGTGGTTGTTGTTGTTGTTTGACTTGCATCCCACTGGGATTTTTTGCACACAGAGTTGGTGTACTGTGCTTTTTTCAGGAATATTTTTCTGTTTTTTTTCATGGATCTTATGTTTGCACAGTCACATAGTCACTTTAAGATGTTTTCTTGTTCCTATTTTTGTTTTTTTGGTTTGTTGTGGTTGCACCCGATTCAAGAGCCGAATGGCTCACAGAGCTATACCAAAATAAATAAACTGAAACTGAAAAAAATAAAAAAAATAAACTGTGTGTACTAGTGGTGAGTGTAGTGGTGGTATTTGTCTATTTGTGTTTCTCCCTTGTGATGGGACTTTGTAGGAAGAACGTTGAGATTTAAAAGGTGCACGAGGTGACCAATAAGGTCTGAATGGGTCTGTAATAAGGTAGGGCACTGATAAGGGGTTGACAGGTATAGAGTTGGCGGGCAGGTGACATGAAAATAAAGTGTTGGTTGTTTTATTGTGTGTGTTAACGAGATAGAACATTTGAAATCAGGGGAGGTGCATCATCATCTTCATATCGTGTCTACCCGTACGGTTCACCCCGTATTCTTGTCCAGGGAAATTTAGTTTTTAGGTCCATACGGCATACAGCCGTTTCAATACGGGCACACAAACAAAAACATTGTCTATTTGTTTGTGTTTCCCCCTTGTAATGGGACTTTGTAGGATGAACGTCCAGATTTATAAGGGGCACGGAGTGATCAATAAGGTCTGAATGGATCTGTAATAAGGTAGGGCACTGATAAGGGGTTGACAGATATGCAAATACTGTCATGAAATTAAAATAATTACATCATACTCAAGTACTATTATTTAATCATATAAGTTTCCTGGCTGGCTGCTGGCTGGGCTCCTCTCCTACATAAACAATAACTCCATTTTCATTTAAAGCTTTCGTGACTGCAGGGATTCATATTTTTGGTTTTGTTGTTTCCCTTCTACGTGACTTTACCGAAAGAACCAAGAATAATAACTCCATTGTTCGTGGCTGCGGGCCGTTGCCACCCAAACTAGCTGGGTAGCTGGCTGCACGGGATTTTCCGTGTAACAAATGTGGGTTGTCCGGCATTCCACAAGTAATGCATTTTAATTGCATTTAATTACATTTGTGCAGATTTAGAAAGGGTGGTGCAGTGGCTCGTGCACTGGGCACTCCTGGTGACCTGAGTTCGATTCCCAGCCACGGCTAACATCAGTGGCGAATGGTGATGGTGAAATCTGGTCACACAACCCCAACGGCTGACGCGGCGTGGGGAGGCCTTCGTCCAGCAGTGGATTGACAAAGGGATTAATGTGTATTACTTAAAGGTTCAGGAGTTAGGGG